AGAAGATCGTACCGCGTGATGTGCGACACGAGCACGAGCTTCTTGTGCACATGAGTCATCAGGAGTTGTATCGATCTGAGCCGGCCATGATGCCATTGATTGAGTGAGCCATGGTGGTCCCGTCCACCATAGAGAGTGCTTTTCCAGCTGATCTGTAGTTATTCCACGCGATGCACAGTCAGCTGGGTTTGATGTGCCAGACACATACCTCCAATGAGCGTCCCTTGAGAGTTCCTGAATTTTGTTTACGCGGTTGCGTACGTAATCCTTCCATCTTGATGGATGAGCCTTGATCCATGTGAGAGTTACCTTAGAGTCCGTCCACAAAATTGTCTTATTTATGATCATGTTTAGAGTAGCGCAAACATGATTCATGAGCGTGGAGAGTAGCAGCGCTGCTGAGAGTTCTAACCTCGGGATGGTTAGCCGCTTGAGCGGTGAGACCTTCGTCCTTGAACAAATAAGAGAGACCTTGGCGCCAGTGGACGGCGAGTTGACAACGAGATACACAACGGCTGCCATTGCGAATTGCGATGCATCAGAGAAGCCATGCAGTTCAACAGCTGAATCAGAGAGCGTGTTGAACCAACGTGGGAAGGAGAGTCTGGCCAGACTAATGAGATCTTGTCTGATGCTGAGCAATTGTGAGATGAACTGTTCTGAGAGTGGTTCGGCCCAGTCGAGATTATGCAACCAGAGAGCCTGAAGAAAGATCTTAGCCTTAATTATGACTGGAGATGCGAAGCCTAATGGATCAAATATTTGTGCTACTTCTGAGAGGACAAGACGCTTCGAGTATCGTTTGGAGGGAGAAGAGGAGATTGTTGAGAAGTCGAACATGTCCTGTTGAGGTGACCATCGAATACCAAGGATTTTGGTATCGCAGTCATCGAATGAGATGCCTGAGATATCGCCAAGCTCAGACGAGACCTCTCTCAACAGTTGCTGAGAAGTAGAGTGCCACTTGGCCAGCGGGAATCCGCCCGCATGGCAGAGCCGTATGAGTTTTTGAGCAGTCACCACGAGCTGTTCCACTGTGTCGGATCCTCCGAAGATGTCATCAACATAACGCCTGTGAGTGATCGGTTTGACAGCAAGAGGATACTGAGAGCCTTCATCTTCAGCAAGCTGAAGGAGCGTGCGTACAGCTAGGAACGGTGCTGACTTGGTTCCATACGTGACTGTAGTGAGCTGAAAATGAGATTAAACTTGCTGTTCATTCACCCACACGATGCGTTGCAGATCCTGGTCATCTGGATGTATCTTGATTTGACGGTACATCTTGGTGATGTCAGTCGCAAAGAGATACTTRAGTTGACGTATCCAAATGAGCAAGTCGAAGATGTTGAGCATCAAATTAGGACCAGCGAGCATGATATCATTGAGCGAGTGACCAGTGGAGCTGGCACTTGAACCGTTGAAAACAACCCTGAGCTTCGTGGTGGAGCTGTCTGGCTTATGTACCCCACGATGAGGCAAATAGTAATGTGGCCTTCTACCAACTGAGCTGTCATCGAGCTTGAGTATGTGCTGAGCTTGTTCATACTCTCGCATGAACTGAGTGTACAATCGGTCGTACTGAGTGTCTCTGCCAAGTCGCCTGAGAATTCGTTGAAGCGATCGATGAGCTGTCTGATAAGAATCTCCCAGGACTGTTGGGGGCGATTTGAGCGGCATCCTGACGATGTAATGCCCTGTTGAGTCCTTTGAGTGAGTGGTCTTAAAGTGGAGCTCACACTCCTGCTCCTCAGGAGTAAGAGATGAGTTGTTCGATGATGGAGGTTCTTCCTGGACCCAAAACCGTGTCAACAACTCTCGCAAGGACGAGTTTGATACCTGTAAGCTGCCGTGATGAGTTGTCCTTGCAAGTGCGACCGGTGCCTGAATGGGGCCTATGACCAGCCACCAAAAGATAGATAATTGAGCAATGGGAGTTCTTTCTGAGTGCCTAATGATATTAGGCCTGATGAGTTGGCCGTAGAAGTCTGCTCCAACTATAACCTCTACTGCCCTTGGAACGAGAAACTCTGGATCAGCGAGATTTAAACCCTTCAGGTGTGGCCATTCGGGTTCCTGTTGAGTCTTTATGGCCGGCAGGATGGTGGTAACAGTCTTTAACACGTGAGCTGAAATTGTCACTGTGAGTGGTCTATACCTTGATTGAAGGATTAGTGTGACAATTCCTCTCGTTTGAGAAGTCCGTGTTCCACCGACACCATAAACGTCCAGCCTTGAGTGCCTTCGTTGTAACTTGAGCTGCTGGGTGAGCTTTTCTGAGATGAATGAGATTTCTGATCCAGGTTCGATGAGCAGACGAACTTGAGTTGATGAAGCTGCTGAGACGACTATTGCTGTCGCTGTGGCCAGCAATGTGAGATGACTGAGATGGGCTGAGTTAGACACAAGATGATCGCAACTCTTAAAGAGCTGCCCTGAGCTTCATGCTTGAGAGGACTTGGTTGACGGAGCGGGTGTGTCTGACACCACTTGAGCGGTCTTAGCCTCATCTCCTGGTGGTTCGAAGATGACTGAGAGGTCGGCACCATGCAACAGGGTGTGATGATAGTCGTTGCATGATTTGCAATGCCGTCGGCTGTTGCACCTCCTTAGATTGTGCCTGCCTAGGCAATTGCAACACAAGCTTCTATCCCTGATCAACCTTACCCGTTGGTTGACCGAGTAGCCTCGCATCTTTGGGCAGATCGCGATGTAGTGATCTTGCCCACAACAGTCACACGGATATGTCGTTCGTGACTGAGCTGGACGAGAAGTCTGATGAGTAACCGACCTTGATGAGTTGGCTGGGGGCTGTTGAGATGCCTGATGTGAGCTTGTCCGAGTAGTCGTAGCCCCTTTTGGCACATTGGGTTGAGCAGGCGTGGACGAGGCTTCCATTGTTTCCAATGTGCGAGCACGACCGACCAGAAATTCGGTGAGCTGGCTGAGTGTCGGAAATTCATCTGTAGATGCAAGAGATGTCTCCCACCTCTCGCGAGTGTCTTGATCAAGCAGTCCAGTGAGAAGAGTGACCATGAGGCAATCATTATTGCTCTCCACTGTGAGTGTTCTGAGTGCCTGAGTGGTCTCATTAATGATGTTGACCATTTTGGTCAGTGAGGTGGCTTGGCGCCTTTGCATTGGTTTGAGGTTGAGCAGCCTTTCTAGAT